CGGGAGGGGGGAGGGAAGGGAGAGGGGGGAGAAGGGAAGCGACACAAGAGTCTAACCAGCCTTGAATCCGCGGAAAACAAAGATTCCCCTCCGTCCCCACACTCTAAAGTTTCTGAGAATACAAAACCCGATCCGCATTTTGGTCTTTGCGAGAGGTGGAAATCATTTTTAACAAGTAGCTCGAGCGATAGCAAATGCCAACGGCAACCATCACAGGCAAGACTGCCAGTGGCTTCCTCTTTCGAGGGGTGCTGGCAAGCAAACTAATGGCGGTTCTGAGTCGTTAACAGATGCCAGTACCAATTTACCATCGAAACGAATGTACGAATCGTAGAGGGATTAGATATCCGGCCGATGAAGCCGGATCGTCGACCTATTGTGTGACAGCAGTGTTTCGTCTCGACATGTTATGCCAGCCACTGTCTGCGCTGTACTTATTACAGATATCAAGAATATTTTGTGCACCCTTGACGAAATGTCTTAGCCCTCAGCAGATTACTGTGGTCAGATATTACCTTCAATTTCTCCAGTAACGTTTTTATCGACGACGTTGCCACTTTTGCTGTTGATATTTGTACTGGTACTATCAGCAGCGTTGTGGAAATCGCCATTAGCGACAGTTGTTTCATCGTCCTGCGAGTGAATGACTGGTACAATCGTTGCGAAAAATACACAGATAAGTAACAGCTTCATCGTACAACACAGAATATTTTTAGCAGTATTTTGAAAAATATCTCAGCAAAAAACTGGGTACCAAAATGATTCCCTGGTCGAAGTAGCGCAGTAGCAAATAACTGTACTGTGCGAAATATTTCAGAAAGCTCCAGGAAACTAGCAGTTCGTCAACCGTTTCCAGAGTTTCACAAAACACTTTTATAATCTCATCTTATGTATTTCGATAAATAGGCGTTCACGGAAGTACACCCCCTGTTGCCATAGGTACGCACTGCGAATCGTGTGAAAGTTGAATTAGATTAATCCGCGCTGCGAATGAAAATGTATTTTTAAGAAAAAATTATTACATTCATTTTTGTGCCTTTATTTTGATTCACAGGAACAGTGCGAAAGGAAAATTCTATTAAAATTAACAGTGATATTTTCTCTGAAAAGTTTGCCAACTGGCATGACACAATAGCAAGTACCACTGTTGTCGCGCTTAACAGGCATTTAAACCACTAGTAGGACAAATAATTGCTTTGTTCATTAATTTCATTGATAAAAATTTATTAAATGCCAAGTTGCTTATTAGATTTAAGCCGTGATGCTGAGCAGAAATGTTTATGACTTAATGGACCGAAAATTAATGAACTGAATAGGAACATCTAGGACATCCCATTCATCCGATTTTTTAATATGTGCCATAATTAATACCTTGGTTAAACGAAATTACAAACGTTTCTCGAAGAATAGGCATTAACTAATAGTGAAATATACTGAATGCATCTGATTTCTTCGGTCCACAAATTCGTATACATTCCTTTTCAGCACCACAACTGGACGTCGCACATCACATCCAACTTTAAACCCAAGATTATCGCTTAAAGAAATGAAAGATTATTGATTTTATTCTGGAAAATACTGTTCTCCATGGATGTTTGCTCGACAGTTTGCTTGATAACTTACAGAACTGTGTGCGTGACTTTACTCCCCAACCCCAGTAAAGTCATGCACATAGTTCTACAAGTTATCGAGCAAACTAACGAGAAGCTTTTATTGAGAACAGTATCTTCCAGAATAAACTTAATAATCTTTCAATTCTGTAAATTTCCGGCCAAGTTGCTGTGATTTTTTAGTTTAAGCTCCTTTACGTTTGTACAAGAAATTGCCTGAATTAGCAAAACCTCATATACAAAAGCAAATACCGCAACGGTCCACTGATATGTGTCGTTTTTTTTTGCAAAACTGACTTTAAAAAAAAATCAGCCGCAAAAATGGGAATGCGCGAGCAATTATTTTCGTAAAAAACGAATCATTTTTTCAAATGAAAGCGAAAAGAGCTTCCTTACGTATTGCAGAATTGAAGGATAGTTGTTAAATTGTCTTATCCTGGGCCGAGCTGCGTGCGAAAGTTGATAATTGTCAAATTGGTGGTTTCTGAAGGCCAAAAATTATTGAAATTGCTACTTTCGGCAAAGTTGACGATAATTTTATTATTATTTTTGATCGGTTTTTTTTTACTATTTTTGATTGGCCCTCCGAGTTTTTTTTTTTTTTTTTTTTGCTTCAAGAGGAATGTCAGAGAAAACCGAAGTCCTCGAAGGCGAGAAGTGAGCGAGTAAAAAAGAACTACAAAAATGAGGCAAAGTCATCATATAAGTGAAAAACACCACTAATGATATTCATGTTCCAGTCATTTTCTTTCGAAATCCCAGCAATATTACTAAGATGAGAAATCCACACAGTTAGCTCGGGCGATTTTGGTATTCTTGTTGTTTATGAGGTTCCGCACCGATTGTCCGGGCAGAGAATTTTTGTGTTTCTGTTATTTATGGGATTCTCACATCGATTGTCCGGTCTTGTTATTCGTGGCATTTTGAGATTCCTAATATTTCTCAACTTTAATTCCTTTGATTCCTAATATTTTCATAACATTTGTTAGGAAGCAAGCAATACAATCGTTTACTAGTGCCGAAAACTTTTGAATATAGGAAAATTACTTTGTTTCTCGTTCTGGACAATTTCAGCTAAAGTTGTAAGAGGTACCTATGGCAACAAGGCCCGACGCTACGCTGCTGCTGCTGCTACTAGGGCTACTTATTCAGCATCGCAGCATGTTTGTTTGCTGTATTGAAAATGAACTTTTTCTTCATCCTTTTTATTCCTGTTTTTTGACATCCAAAATTGCCAATATTATCCAGACTGTGGTGCATGCGGAACATGTTTCTGCCATGCGGATAATCCCTGAAATTGATCCAGAGCTTCCGGTGTTCTAGGATAAGCATTGCTTTCCACCCACTTTTGGTAGTTGACAAATTTTTTTAGTTACTTTGATCAATGTTACGTTTCTCGTTGGTCAGCTTGCTGATGACCTTGTTAATCCTTTCGTCTCCTAACGAATTACCGATTCAGCTGTTCTTCCAGCACAAGCGCTGTGACAAGGCTTTAGCCGTTTCGAGATGTTGCTAATTTCTGTTAAGCACCATAGTCTCGTCTTTAAGCAATCGCTACATTTAATCTACATCAAGGTTACCTTACGGTCCTTTGATACTTTTTGACTAATCTTTACTAACACTGTATTGATCTAAATGAACCACCATTAAACAAGCGAGTATAAAATTTGTGAACTTGAATTGCCTGTTGCTGTCAGATCAGGAGCTGAAACGGGTTTTCCACTTGATTTTAATGATTTCACCAACAAATCCTGCGCTCCTCGACCTTTTGAACTTCCTTGAACTTCCTTGAACTTTCTCGAACTTCCTTGAATTATTAACTTATTAAAGTAACTTAGCACAAAGCAGCTGTCGCGAAAGGTTCTGAGTTAGAGAAAATCGAATAGAAGTCTCAAATCGGCAGTTCGTGTTGATTGTGCGAACCCGGTCTACAACAAGTCGAACAATTCAAGGACCATCGCAAGTTCCGAAGCGCTGTATTTATTGTTCCCCAATAAATTGCCGAATTCTTCGCGTATGTTTTAGAATACAAAAAATTAATGTTAGTAAAACAGTCCAAGTGCTCAGTGGGCACGCTATTATTTTTCTGAAAATCTTTCGATCTTCCTCATCCTGTTTTACCAATTTACACGAATTGTTGCTTTAATTAGCCGCGAAGAAATATGTGCGGGGCGAGCAGCGAAATGTATTTTGAATTAAATCCTGCTTTCTAATCTACCAAAACCTGGCGCTTCAATTATCATTAATTTGCATGCCTGCATATCTCCTGTGAACCACATTTATGATAGTGAAATACAAAATTGGGTAAGCCAAGAGCAACCTGAGGCAATATTTTTTTTTATGCAAGCAGCTTTCTGTCTTACAGGTAAAT